CCCCCGCCGCGGTCTGGGGGCCTGCGGGGGCTGCTGCTGTGGCAGCCATTGCTGCTGCAACTGCAGCCTCCTCTGCCTCAGGAAAGAATCAGCAAGCGGCCAAGACGGACACGGCCGTGGCCTCCGCGGCAGCGTTAGTAGCCGCGCAGTGCGCAGAGGCTGCGGAGTCTCTCGGTGCGGATCATGATCACCTCACTTCTGTGGTGAGCTCCGCTGTCAATGTTCACTCTTGTGATGATATTGTCACTCTCACGGCTGCAGCCGCCACAGGTACTCATTTCAGGCTGAGCTCTCTCTTATTTAATTATCTGCTTCATGTATTGAAAATGTTCTCAAATGCACTGTTTTACGATATGTGGTATTACTTTCGTGTGCAGCTTTACGTGGAGCGGCAACACTTAAGGCAAGGGCAATGAAGGAAGTGTGGAATATAGCCGCGGTAATACCAGTTGAGAAGGGAATGGGAATTGGGGTTTGTGGTAAAGCCAACATGGATAACTCTACTCTTGGCAGCTTTAGTGGAGAGATCTGCCCTGTTGACAATTTCCCCGACGTCTGTAACCAAGACCTCCTAGCCAAGGGTAGTGAAATCCTCAAACGCACCCGCAAAGGTAAACATTGACGGCCTGTTTGATTCATAGGTTTGGAAAAGTAAAAAAAAAAAATTAATTAATTTTTTTTAAAGGGCAGAAATTTAAATTTTTAGGAGAGAACTATATAGTAAACAAGTTTTAATTGCGCTTCAAACTCTGAACCAAACGGCTTAACATAATAAACTTCAAAGACCTGTCAAAGAGATAACATGCTAATACAATCTGATATTCACAGGGGATCTTCACTGGAAAATTGTGTCTGTTTATATTCACCGAACTGGTCAAGTGAGTGAAGTTCCTATTTCTATCTTCGCTAAATAACAAACAGGTTCCTCCATTTGACTAATCAAAAATATAAAAATCCCTGGCTTTTTTTGGGTGGCAGGTGATGCTGAAAATGAAAAGTAAACACGTTGCTGGGACCATCACCAAGAAGAAAAAGAGTAAGCTGCCAAATCTTAGTGATGCAAAACAGGGACAAAAAGAAAACTAGTCAAAACGTTGCTTAACGGTGGACATATTTATGAATTTTGCTGTTTACTAAATATGTGCGCAGATGTTGTGTTGGAAGTGCGTAAGGACATGCCAGCTTGGCCAGGAAGACACTTGTTCGATGGAGGAGAGCCACGTCGTTACTTTGGATTGAAAACGGAGTCACGCGGGGTTGTGGAGTTTGAATGCAAGAACCAAAACGAATATCAATTCTGGACTCGTGGAGTCTCCAGGCTTCTCTCGATCGTTGCAGAGAGAAAGACCAGGCGTTAGGACGGATTAACAAAGACTATTAGATCAATTTAGGTTAGACTGATTCCACGTTCCAAAGTCTCCTGGAGTGTTCAATTCCTCTTTGTAAATTATAAGACAGACACGACAAATCATGAAACTGTATAATGCAATGGCCCACTTTAAGACTATTTAGACCTACGAAAGGTGTCGCTGTTGGTTGACATTGTTGACAAGCTTGTCGGCTTAATTTGTTGCTTATTTTCTTTATAATGTTTCCCCTTAATATAGGATAGTGCTTAGTTCTGTTTGCTTGCAACGGTATGGTTGTAAACGCTTTGCCGTAATCTCCATCTGAATTTGCTTGTTCATTTAGGACTCTAATCTAGAATATATTCACCCCAGATAAAAGGATGCGTAATAAGACAGAACTTTCACATTGACAAAGACCTATCGTGGACAAATTGTGTTGAATATTGTCTTGGTGGATAATCACCTGAGTCGTGAAAGAATCAATTATTTACTTGCAAACGAAGGAAAGCTTTCATTAAACTATTTACCATTATAAACGTAGAAATACAATTGTTTTGAATTTACGCTTAGCCGTAAAAAGAAAGACAAAAAAGCAGATAATCTTACATTATGAATAAGAATTTACTTCGATCCAAAAAATAACAGATTGGATGAAACAGAATCATGGGATTATTTCATCAAGTATCGGCAGCTCTAAAAACTGTCAGTAGTGAGAGGAAGAGGTTGATGATATCCAAATACAGAGCCACTGCAGCCCAGATGTATTCATCATAAGTGTAGCGTTTGATCAAATTGTCTGTGTCGTATATGATGTAGCCACAGAATATGAGCGATGCCAAGCACCCATATATCATTATAGAGATCCTACCCATTGGGAAGAGAATCTATAACCAGAAATGGAAGCAACAAACACCGTAATTACTAATTAGAAACCCCAAATACCATAAATGATAAAACTAAGCTTTAATTGCAAAAGGGGTTTTTGTTTTTTTTTTTTTTTTTTATAAAAAAAAAAAGAGTGTGCAGAAGATTGTAGGAAATAGATATACCTGAATCAAAGCGAAAACCATAAGCACCATCACGGCTCCGAACAAGAAGGGTCCAAGGAAGTTGAAGTCATGGCCTCTCTTTGCCGCCCAAAATGTGTACAAAGTGAGACTCACTACTACAACGGTGGTTAGAATCACCGACTCTAGTATAACCTTTCCTGTTTCCGATTGAAAAAAAGCACAATTTACTGTATTAAAACATCAGAAAGACAAAAAAAAAAAATTTCAAATTTTGGATTCTTGAGCATAATCGTAGAAGTCCAATTGAGCAATGTGTTAATCCTAAGTGAACATATTACTACGTTTAACATCACAAGACCGTCTTTTTTATGAATTACAGACCAACACACAGTAATAGGGTTGCTAAATTATATTATACAAACATAAAAGACCCAATATGATTAAATCTAGAGAGAGAATTTTCTGAAAAATTATTGAACAAGAAGTAGCAGCCACAAAATTATATAATTCCAAGGCGCAATATTTTCTTTTCTAAGCCACAAAAAGAAAGGGAGAAAAAAGCTGAAATCTTTGAAGCAACAAAGATCTTACCACTCGTAAACGCACAAGTCAATCCAACAGCGAATGCGAGAGAAATAGTGAAGATCCCAAGGAGAAGGTAATTCACCGGATGCTTCCGGTAATAGTAATACAGCGGGCACAAAGCTGTAGTGGAAACGGGAAATTCCCAAAACCAAACGTCAAAATCCACTGACAACAAAAATTAATTTAACCAAAAACGATTAATCGAAAAAGATTACGTACTGATGAAGGGCGTGATTATGAGGACGATGTAGAGAGCCAAGCCAGCGCCGGTAGAGGCGAAGAAATGAGCGATCGGACGGACTGAGACGACGATGGCGGCGACGGCGATGGTGGCGAGCAATTGGATGCAAACGATCGAATAAATCTTCCGAATGAAGGACCACCGGAGCTCGGGGCTCTCCAGCATCATCGGGTACAGAGGCCTCGCTCCGACCTCCTCGTCGGTCTTCCGGTAGGGTTGGGTCCACATCTTTTGTCTTCGAATAGGAATTAGCGCCCAAGTAAGTTTGTTTGGTTGCCGAGATTCCTTAGGGGAAAGTGAGGGAAAGTATGAGAAAACAGACGAAAGTTGGTTGTGTTGAAAGATTGGTGCAAGGAAAAGGGGATAATAAGAGCGGGCTCCGGAGAAATTAGAGACTTCGCGAGGGATCGCCCACACGTGTGGAAAACGGAAGCGGCGGTTGAAGTGTGAGCTTGATACGTGCGAGTCTGTAAAGTTCCAGACGAGTCTACTGTCCACTTGTGTCTCTTTCCTTTTATTTATTTTTTATTTGGAAACCCTTCTGATCTTGCCTTCATTGTTAAGGAATTAGAATATAATTTTTGACAAGGAAATGCATATGAATTCTTCCTGAACATCAGAATTTTCGGGAAGCATATGCTTTTGCTCTTTAAAAATAGGTTCCTCTACACTATTATTTCTTTTTTTTTTCCCAATATATTATTATTTTTTTATAATATTTTTATTTATTTAGTTTTTGTTCTTTGGACAAAAGTTTTTCTTTTTAAACCTCGTTATTGACGAACTACAAATTAATGCGCTACAACAGACCTTCAGAGTTCAGAATATGTGTGTGTGTGTTTTTTTAAGTGAATGTCGAATTTGTATTTAATACTTGGTACGTTATAAATTTCTTAAAAATATAACAATGGAGTGAGCAACATTCTAAAAAAAAAAAACAAAATGTTGATTGGATTTGGAAGCTTCCCAAAAATAACTTTTGATACAGCTGGTTTACTACGAAAAATTATAATCTCAAAACTGACAATGTAATCAGATTTTATTTATTTTCTTGTTAATTTGTGGAGAAGGCGCATATTAATTTTTCCCAAGAAAAACGAAATGACGTTTACACTCTATGCCGTTTTATCGAAGTCACGTCGTGTCAAAATTATTTAGGTTCTGTATGAGGGGTTTAAATCAATGTAATTCTAATAGTCTAATTATAATTGTAGAATTATAATCAGAATTAGAGATTTAAACCCTCAAAATCAAAAAGGAAAGGTAGTTTAAAACATTACATCATTGTTCAGATCTTGAACTAAAACCATTCAAATTAAATACTAATTTTTAAACTTTAAATCAGAATAATTTTTTACCTTTTACAAATAAATAAAGATTTAAACTAGAATTATTATTTTAATTCTATAACCCTCAAACCAAATGCTACTTTATATGCTACAAGATTTTAAGTAGAGTATACAAATTCTAAAAAAAAAAGAAAAAGAAAAGAGTATATAAGGAAAAATGGGAAACTGTGGAGAAAAAATATTTATTTATTGCTTGAAATAAAAAAAAGTATTTAAATCAAAATCATTCAAACTAAATATTAATTTTTAAATTTTAAATTAAAATTATTTTTTATTTTTTACAAATAAATAAATATTTAAATCAGACTCATAATTTTGATTCTATAACCCCAAACCAAACGCTCTACAAGGTTTTAAGTAGAGTATTCAAATTCTAAAAAAAAAAAAAAAGTAGAGCATATAAGGAAAAATGGGAAACTGTGGAGAAAAAGTATTTATTTATTTATTTATTTTGCTTGAAATGGAGAAAAAGTATTTAACAAAACTATATGCCGCTTTTATCTGTAACCGATATGCAGTTTCTGACGGAAAGAAAACATATATCAAACACGTCGTTTCCATGTGATGTTGTTTATACATGGAAATTGGAAAATAGATATATCTTTTTTTTAAAGAAAAAATAAAATATATCTTTATTACCTATTCACTAAGAGCCAATCCGTTTCTTGGGGGCGATTCGTTGCCCTTTTATTTTTTTTTTCTTTTTTTCCTTTTTCTCCCTTATTTTTTCTTATTGCATCTTTTAACTTCTATTTTTTTTATATATTTTTAAATATATTTCTTTTAAATACTTTTTAAAGTTATTTAAAATATTATATTTCCTAATTATCCTTTTAAATTAATTTATTTTTAAATATATCCTTAAATAAACAATTTTTATCAATAATTCTTATAAATTTTAAGTTCGGTTTCTAAACATTTCACACAAGTATTTTCTTAAATTTTTTTTTTTGTTTTTTCTCATACTTTTAGTTTAAATCTTTTTCTTTTTATCTTTTTTTTTTCTTCAGCGATTATATAACAATTGTTTTAAATAACAATTGTTTTAAATGAATCCGCCACATTTTTTACTAGTATAGTTATAAAGCCATTATAAGTCACTTTCATAAACAGTCTATTGTTTATTGTCCATTATAAAATTTTAAAACGATATTCGAATCAAGGACGTGAAAGAAAATAAGCAACCTATCAGTTTCATCTGATTGTGGTTTATAATTTTATCTCCAAAACCCAATATTAGTTGTTGAAAATGTCCTTTTTCTCAACAAAAATGAACCACACGTCGTTCTAAAAAAAATGTGTCTTAAATCTTGATCTTGTTCCGAGGAGATATTCCGGAACAAACAACATTGGAAGAAGGTAATGCTAACCACAAGTCTACAACCGTAAGTCTTTTTGCGTGTTTGGAATAGTTTTTAAAAACAGTTTTACGTATTTCAAAAAATAAAAAATAAAAAAAAATGAAACGATATTTGTTTAATAAATGTTTTAAAAATAAAATAAAATAAAAATAGTGAGAATAATTTTTATAAAAAAATTAAAAAACAGTTGAAAATTATTTTTATTTTTCTGTTTTTACTTTTTAGTATTTATTAATAATATTATAATATATTAATTAATAAACACAATTTCATTTTTTTATTATATTCAAAATAATCTCTTAAAAAATTAACTAAAGGGTTGTTTGGTTGGGGGATTCGTACCCCGATTCGAATCATAATTTATAGTTCGCTACAGTGTTTTTTCTCACAAAAAATACACGTAAATTGAAAATGATTATAATCTATGAACCAAACGTCTCTTAAATATACTTTTGAAATCAGTCCTAAAATAATTTCATTTTTAATTTTTATTAAAAAGAAAATTATTTTAAAATAATTTCTAAACGTACCCTTTATTTTTTCCGGGCACGTAATTGACATTTTCGAGGATCTAATTACAACTGACAATGACAAAAGAATATTGTCCCCAACGACAAATAGTTAATGAAGGAGTGACAATGTCGTTTTTCTACAAAACAAAAATGACGAGTGTCATTCAAAAGGCCGATTGACGTGTTCAAAATTCAAATGTTGGAAAAAAACAATACCCACGAAACGCCAACACGTTTTTCATGAGAGAAGAAATAGTTAATAATAAAATGTAATATTTTTTTTTTTCAAAAAACATTACGCTTCGAATATGAAAGACAAGGATCGATGTAGAATCACTATTATGGTCCGTTTAGTTCGTTAATTTGAATTTTTAATTTAAGTTAAAATGCAATTTTATGTGAAAATTTTTTACTGTGGTAAAAAAATTAAATGTGACTGTTTCTGAGAGTTTTTTACTATAACAAAATTTGAATCGGTGAAATGAATGAGACTTAAATTACACCCGCAACAACAGTGTGAGACAAACATGGCGTTTTTGGACAGAATACCAAAAAAAAAAGAGGAAAAAGAGAGAAGCCAGGTATTTATTGTGACGGAATGTAATGGATATATCTACAATCTTAAAAGTTTTGTTCATACAAATAACTAAAACCATTCCCTAAAAGAATAAATTAACTAACTGAAATGAGATTCGATTAGTAAATGCATGCAAATTTTCTAAATGAACATTTTATTAAACATTATTGCACAAAAGTTTGAAGGTTTAGCGATCCCCTCTGATATAATAAATTCTATATCATTTGCGAAGAAATTGGATTAGTCGAACAATTGCAAAGCCTATATATTTCTTTGTGTGGAAATTGAGGTAGGATTAGCGATCCCCTCTGATATACATACTCCTTTTCCGAGTAGATATACGTCTAAATTATAGACAGGCTAGAGTTAGTACTGTTTTATCTCACTGTTAATTAATAAATTTGGTGAGTTTGGCTTGGGACCATGCGATACACGTGTCTTAAATAATACACTGAATGTGCCATTTTTGATGTGGACCTCTCTAATAGCTACTCAACTTGATTTTGGCATATCGGCTTGATTGTATGTAACTTTGTCTCTTCCAACTCTAAGTCCTCAAATTTGAGAATGAATATATATGGAATTACTACTGGGTCATATCTTAAGTTCAGAGTAGAGTAACTAAAAAATAAAATAAGCTACATATACCATTTTTGTCCTACACAAGTCCATTAATGTATACCCAGACCAAAAAGGGGGAAAAAAAAAATCTATTGACCACTGCTTATTTTCTCTTATATCTCTCTCTACCCTTTATTGGATACAGAATTATTTTATTTATTTATTTATTATTATTATTTTTTTTATAAAAAAATGTAAGGATCATTCACTTTAAGTAATCAATGTATAATTGCTAGTATACAAGAATGAGTTGTAGGTAGCTATGTAAAGAAGTTGGTATTAACATGTCATAATTACATATATTGACCAGCCACACATTTTTCACACAACTGTATAAGAGTCTGTTTAGTTCGCTGATTTGAATTTTTAATTCGAGTTAAGATGTAATTTTATGTGAGAATTTTTTATTGTAGTAAAAAAATTAGATGTGATTGTTTATAAAAGTTTTTTACTGTAACAAAACTCGAATCAGCGAAATGAACGGAGCTTAAGTAGCTATGTAAAGAGGATCCGGAAAATATAGAAAAAGAAGCCATGGCACTAGTCTTAGAAAGTAGTAGACCTGCAGCTAAAACTTCAACTGCTAATCCTTCTCATCGGTCTCCTTCTTCTCCTCCTCCTCCTGCAACCACCACTGTTTTCAATTGGGGGGATTACGGTTATGACAGTTGCGTAGTGGAAAAATCTGTGTTCTCTCGCTTCTGTTGCTGTAAACCCATATTCTCTTGTTTAGGTTGTTGCAATTTCCTTCCAAACTGCTGTGAAGAGCGAGACAAAAAATACCCTCCAAAGGATCTCTTCATCGTTTCATCCAGCCAAAAGCGGTAGATACCCAGTCCTCTTGTTCTTCCACGGCACGAGTATCAAGACAAGCTTCTACTCACAACTCTTCAAACACATATCGTCCCACGGATTCATAGTTGTGGCGCCTCAGGTAATCAAATATCTTCTCTGAATAATCTCATCTAGCTATCCTACTCTGTGTCTGTGTTTACAGCGTTAAAAAAAAAAAAAAAAAGATTCTAATACAAATGCAGCATGCTCCTCTAATGAAAGAGCATTTCTCTAGATTTTCTTTTTTAGTTATTATATAGTATTTATTTAATAAATTGGAAAGGTTGAAGGCCGGTTCAACTTTTTTTTTGTTTTTTTTTTTTGTTTTTTTGTGTAGCTTGATTTTAAGACAAAACGTTTGTAGTTTTCTATCAAAATTCATTTTGATTTACTCTTTTGTGGTTGTTTGCATTTGACAAAATTGTGATGAGAGGTGTTGATATAACTTGTGTTATAAATTACGCCCTTTTGATCTGCACAATAAGAATAAAAGACAACAACAGAAAACCAGCCAAACAAGAAGAACGAAGAACAAAATAAAGAGAGCAAAAGCAAGAGACCAGATTTACTTGGTTCGGATCAAAGCGATCCTAATCCAAGGGAGGAGTTTGTACTCCAGTCCAAATCCACTATCAGAGTTGTCAGTACACCTCTATCTTCTCCCAGCACTCAATCTTGTACAAGACTCGCTTTGCACGCAAGTTTCTCACAGTTTCTCTCTAATTCTCGAGAAACAAACACTCACCAAGAAAGCCCCAAATTACAAGCCCAGAATTCTCTCTCAGAAGATTCTCTCTCTTAGATACTCACGAGTAAAAAACTCCAAAAGATAATTACGTTACAGTCTAACAAGTCTTATATACTTATTGACAACCAATCACAACATGACAGCTCCGCAGCTAAAATATAAGCTGATAAATAAAGCTGCAGTCTTCAGCCACCAGCTCGTTTGACTTTTCTATATTGCTTCGCTGTCTTGGTCAATTTGAGACATCAACTTTCAACAACTTGTTTTTGCTAATGAGCACATCTCTAGAATTTAAGTAAAAAATAGTGCCATTCACTACTAAAACTTTTTACTTTTTTTTTATTTTTTTCCTAATTCCTAATTACTAATAAAATATTAAACAAATTGATCAGTTATATCGGTTACTAATTCCACCGGCATGCATGGAACTCAACTCCGCGGAAGCTGTCGCCGATTGGTTGCTAAAATATGGCCTCGAAGGACACCTTCCCGCCGGCATCACACCGGATTTCGAGAGCGGCCTAGCTCTAGCGGGCCACAGCCGGGGAGGAAGAACGTCATTCGCATTAGCCGACAAAAGAACTGCCGAATCGGCCAAGACCAACTCGGAAGTCCACAGCAGCGCCCTCCTACCCAGATCAGGCAAAGACTTAAACTTGTCGGTGCTGATTGGCGTGGACCCAGTGGCGGCTACTATGTGCTGCGCAACCATGCCCGACGTCCACCCGGAGACCCAATGCTTCAAATTTGATGTCCCCGCGGCGGTGATCGGCACCGGACTGGGCGGTAGCTGCGCGCCCGAGAGCGGTAACTACGCGCAGTTCTTCAAGAGGTGCAAGCCGCCGAAGCGCGCTGAGTTTCTGGCCCCGCAGTACGGGCACATGGACGTGTTGGACGACAATCCCCCGGGCAATGGGTCATGCTTCTCGTGCGTTTCGGCTTTGATGACAAAGTGCATGTGTAAGAACGCAAAGGGTCTATCAAGGGAGTGCATGAGCAGGACCGTGGGAGGGATTGTGGTCGCATTTTTCAAGGCTTATAATAACAAATATCCTGATCCTTCTGATCTTAATGCAATCCAAAACAATCCTGGTCTCGCCCCAGCAGAATTAGTGATTCCTAATTCTGAGTCCGCTTGAAAGTCCTCGTCCCAAGGATTTTGGTGAATATTGGATTATGTTTTCGTTGTAATATATATGGGAGCTTGTATGTAAGCCAATTATTCTCTAGATCTCTGGTTTCAAATTTTTTTTTTATTACGGTGTTTTCTGAATTTTAAAAATTTTGACTTTGCTTTTTAAATTTTGAATTGTTCTCACTTAGCCATTTTTATTGTAAATTCTATTAAAAATTGATAAGAAAAATGAGAGTAATGTAATCGAGTAGTATTTCTGTTAGAAACAAACATATAAGGACCACATCTATCTGATTTTAACAAAAATTACAACATAACCAGTTAAGTGAGAATAATTTAAAGTTCATGAAGTAAAGTGATAATTTTTAAAGTTCAAAAAAAAATTATCACCTTAAAGTTCAGAAACATTGGAGATATTAGATTAAATGAGATTTCTCGGTTCCTTGATTTCCTTGATTTCATTATAATTCCATGATTTTAGATTTCGTGATTGTAGGTCTAGAATTGTATTGACTTTTGATTATTTCCTTTTGTAGCTTTATTTTACTATTCTCTAATTGTTGTACAGTTGGCTATATATAGCCTTATATTTCCCCTATACGAATAAGAAGAATTATTCCACCAAAACTTTGTCTTCTTCCTATTTCTCTTTAAAGTTTTTGTGATGGTATCAGAGCCACAACGTGGCCTGCAGTCTTTTTCTTGATCATTTTTTTTTTTTTGACACCTATTACCATGGCTTCACAAACAGACAAAGAAAAAGAGCTTAAAAATATGCTTTCTTTACACCCTTCAGACAATCCCGGTACTGTTCTAGTTTCTTCTTCACTAAACGGAGAAAACTATATTATGTGGAGCAAAGCTATGATAAAGGCTCTCAGTGCAAAGAACAAAGCTGGCTTCGTCAATGGATCCATTCCTAAACCATCTAATACAGATCCCCTTTTTGACTCTTGGAAACGCTGTGATGATATGGTGGCTTCATGGATTATAAATGCACTCGCACCAGAACTTGCAGCGGATGCCATTTATGCAGAAACATCAAGGGATCTCTAGGTAGATTTGCAAGAAAGGTTCTCTCAAATTAATGGACCGCTGATTTTTGAGATTCAAAGAAAAATCAGCTCCATTTCACAAGGTCAGGATTCTATCACTATTTATTTCACAAAACTGAAAACTCTGTGGGATGAGTTGAATTTTTATATTCCTATTCCTCCTTGTTCTTGTGGGTCTACGAAAATTTTAGAGGCACATAGAGATAGAGATAGAACCATGCAATTTTTAATGGGTTTGAATGAGACTTATTCAGCTGTGCGTGGCCAAATCCTTCTCATGGATCCTATTCCTGTTGTAAAGAAAGCTTTCTCCCTAGTCTTTCAAGAAGAAAGGCAACGTGGTATTGTGAGCCCACGACCCACACATGATTCTGCTGCCTTATCTGTTAAAGGGAATAACAATCCAGGTAAATTCCCAAAACAGACTTTTGGAAATTATCCAAGACCTATCTGTGATTTTTGTGGAAAGACAGGACATACCAAAGAAAAATGCTACAAGTTACATGGTTTTCCTCTGGGTCATAAGCTGTACAAGGAACGACCAACCACTGCTCCTGCAAATCAAGCCTCTGGAAATCAAGCCACTGCAAATCAAGTCTCTGCAGCCCTTCCAACAAATAACTTGCAGACTTTCCCTTTCACATCAGAACAGTGCCAACAAATTTTAGCACTAATTAATTCTCAGCCAATGTCCCTGCTCGTAAGTAACTAATCTCCACAAAACAATCTAACATGTATAGCCCTCAATGCAACTAGTTTCTCTCATTCCACTTCTTGGATTATCGATTCAGGAGCAACTGATCATATGGTCAGCTCCCCTTTATTTCTTTCCCATATCACATCCTCTTGTTCTAATAATGTAAAACTTCCAAATGGAGTAGATGCTCCTATCTCGCACATTGGCGAAGTTCAATTAACTCCTATTATTTTGCGTAATGTCCTCTGTGTGCCAAGTTTTCATTTCAATTTAATCTCTGTTGGTAAACTCATCCATGATGCTGAATGCCTAATTACTTTTTCTGCCGATTCTTGTACTATACAGGACCAGTCCTTGAAGAAGATGATTGGAGCGGGTAGATTACATGAAGGCCTTTATCTTTTCGAGTCACCAACCATTGTACTCAAATCACCACCAGTTGTCGCTTCTTCTATTTACAGTTTATGGCACCATCGTTTGGGACATCCTAGCCATAGTCGTCTTCAGCTACTTTCTAAATACATTCCTACTTTAAATTTTAATGCTCAACGTGAATTATGTGAGACTTGTTCGCTTGCAAAGCAAACTCGTTTACCTTTTCCTTTAAGCATAAAAACTTCTGTTTCACCTTTTGATCTAATACATTGTGACATTTGGGGAAAATATCATCATGTTTCTTTATCAGGGGCCCATTATTTTCTAACCATTGTGGATGATTATACTAGATGCACTTGGATTTTTCTTATGCAGTGTAAGAGTGAAACACGTTTCCTTTTGCAATCATTCTTTTCTTATGTTGAGACCCAATTTGATCAGAAAATTAAAATCATTCGCTCAGATAATGGGAAAGAG